AAAAAAAAAGAATGGTACAGTGAACACCACATGCCCCCAACCTAGATTCTAATTATTAACACATCACATTTATCCATTTATTCATCTACCAGTCCATCTTATTTTTGAAGCATTTAAAGGTAAGAACACTTAATGTACCCCTAAACATAAGTGTGCATATTATTATTTACAGTATTTACATTTTCATGTGAAATTTACATGCACTAAAATGAATAAATCTTAAATGTACTCACCTGTAAATTTTGAAAAATACAAACTCTCATGTAACTAGATACTTTCAATTGAGAGACTTTCCTCATTTTTGAGATTGCTTTGGATATTTTTAGTTCTTTGCATAGCCATATAAATTTTAGAATCAGTTTGTCAGCTTCTACCAAAAAACCCTCATAGGATTATGATAGAGATTACATTGAATCTAAAGATCAATTTGGAAGAATTGACATCCTGTGATGTTTTGTAGTTTTCATTATAGAAGTTATCTTCCATACTTTATAAAATTTACTTCTACGTGTTTTATGATTTGAACACTATTATAAATAGTATTTTTCAAACTTAATTTTCTAGTAGTTGCTGTTTGTATAAAAAATGCAATTGATTTATTTGTATGTTGACTTTGTATTCTGTGATCTTGTTAAATTCATTTTATTAGTTCTTTTATTTTTTATTTGTAAACTAGAGGCCCGGTGCACAAAATTTGTGCACTTGGGGGATCCCTCAGCCCAGCCTGCGCCCTTTTGCAAACTAGGAGCCCTCAGGGAATATTTGACTGATGGCTTAGGCCTGCTCCCCATGGGGAGAGGGCCTAAGCCGGCAGTCAGACATCCTTAGTGCTGCCGCGGAGGCAGGAGAGTCTCCCTCCACCACCGCTGTGCTCACCAGCCTTGAGTCTGGCTTCTGGCTGAGCGGCACTTCCCCTGTGGGAGCGCACTGACCACCAGGGGGCAGCTCCTGCTTTGAGCATCTGCCCCCTGGTGGTCAGTGTGTGTCATAGCGACCAGTCATTCCACCGTTCAGTAGATTTGCATATTAGCCTTTCATTATATAGGATATTTAGGATATTGTGCATAAACAACCATGCCATCTGTGACTAGGGTTTTACTTCTTCATTTCTGATCTTTAGGCCTTCCCCCGCCTCCTTATCTAATCACCATCTAGGATCTCCAATAAAACATTAAATAGAAATGGTGGGAGTGGGTATGCTTACTTCCAATCTTGGGGAAAAGATTCAGTATTTTATTAAATATAATGTTAGCTGTAAAATTTTTGTAAATGTCTATCATATTGGGGACTTCAAGCCTTTCTTTTCTTTTGGTGGGCCATAACTGTGATCTGTTTAGTTCTCTTATTCTTAGGTGGGCTTCTTGCAGTTTGCCTCCCAGGCGTGTTGTCCAGGGGTCAGTCAGAGATTCGGGCAGAGTTTTTAGACAATTTGAATCTCCCCTCTGTCGCTCTCTTCTTTCCTGGGTGATATCCCTTCAATTTCCAACTGACATAGTAGCCCCAAACTGTGTCCTTGGATTCCTTATGCAAGCAAGACTGCACATTTCTATCCAAATTCCAGCTGATCTGGGAAAGCCTCCAAAATGGAAAACTCTTTCAGTACATTTTTTTTCTTTCAGATGTCCACTCTCTTCCAAATCTGTCTACTTCTAGTGACTCGCCAGTGTTTTCAGATAGTTGCTTTTTAATATAATTTTTCTAATGTTTTCAATTATTTCTTTGTGAGAAGTTTGGTCCAGTGTAAATGACTTCAGCATTATCAAACATGGAACCTACGTTTTTAAATAATGTGGTCAGAATAGCTCTTATAAGGAATGTGGAATTTAAGCAAAGATTTGAAAGAAGTGAGAAATTAACCAAAGTGACAGTTTTTATTTTTTTTTAAGGATTCAGGCAGACAGAGGAGAGCTAATCAAGGTGGGAAAAACCTGATATGTTAGATCGGGGTGGGGAACGTCCAACCCGCGGGCCACATAAGGCCCTCGAAATCATTTGGTCTGGCCCTGCCTAGGCATTGAGGATGAGTTAATTAAATGTTTGACCAAATATAACAGGCTAATTTTTAAGATAATAATTTTGTATGGCCAATGAATGATGTTATAAATATTCAAATGGCCGCTGGCAGAAAAAAAGGTTTCCCACCCCTGTTAGAGCAACAGTAAAAAGGTCAGGGTTTTGAGAATAGTGGTGTGAGCTGACATGCCTTTCAAAACTATAACGTCTGCTATTTTGTGAATAGATTGTATGGATGCAAGGATAGAAACGGAATTAATTAGGAGGCTGTTATTAGAATTCACAGGAGAGATAATGGCCTCTCAAACCAAAGCAGTATCAATGGACACAGTGAGAGCAGTGACATGCTCGGTATGTTACGAAGGAAGAGCCAACAGATTTTCCAGTTTATTGGATGTTGGATATCAAAGAAAGGGAGGTGTTCAGAATGATGCCAGGTTTTTTTGGCAAGTTGTACAAAAGGTGGAACTGTCATCAGCTGAGATGGAAAAGGCAATGGGTGGATCAGTTTAATATGACAAGGTTGTGCCCTAAAACGCTCACAATCATTAGTGAGAGATACAATTAAATAGCTAATGTGATCAACGAAATGAACTAACGTACTGAGAACTTTTTATAGCAGTTCTGTGGGAGAGCAGAGGAGAGAAAGTATTTCAACTTGTGATGAGCGAATAGGTAGCAATATATCCATGAATCGAAGCATTAATTTGACCTCATATCTCATTTGATGAGTTCATCCATTACCCAAGTTATGTTATTTTTCTTTCATATAGGAAACCATGATATTTTGGATTTCAGTGTGCTAGTGCTTCAGGGAAATGGCATGTGCGTGTGTGTTTAATATTTTCTTTTTTATGTCATTTGGGATGAAGCTTGGCATTAATGACTATTTTTAACACTAACCAAGCCCTTTTAATCTGTAATGCTAGAAATATTTAATGAAAGCCTATTTGTGAAAATATAGTAAAACATAAATTTAAATATGCAAGCTTATTGAGGCAAAGACTTATCATCTGGGTGTCCCCAGATCTCATTGGCATTGTTTTATTTTATAGACTTTTCCCGTACACCAGGCCAGCCACTCTGGCCCTGTACTTGTCTATTCTCTTACAGCAGTTAAGTGCAGCCATTGGTCAGGAGCATTTTTGAAGCAGGGGGTCCCGCGGGGGTGAGGCCGACGGAGTCCTAACAAAGCATGCCCGACTCCGGGGACCGGTTCAGTGACGCAGATCCAAGTTTATTGTGTGAGTGCAGCAACATATATAACATTCCAGACCAATCAGAAGTTTACAACATCCATAGGGCAACCAATAGTAGGAAAGATCAGGGTACTATGTAGGGGCTCTAGGAGGTCAGCTCAGGCGGGCGATGCCACTTCCTGGTGTGCCAAGGAAGCTTGTGCAGGCGGAGCGTACTCACGCCATTGCATCTGCCGCAGCACTGAGATAAATCTCCTGACACATTTTGTCTTACTATTTTTGTGTTAAGAAAAAGAAAAGAATAATGATTTATAAGTGATCTGGTTGTAGGTCCTCACATTTCATGTTCCATACCTCTAAATAAAAAAACAATTGTAAAATTAGACCAATTTTATTTACTTTTCAGATCATGTGGATGAGCGAACAGTATGCAATGGAATTGCCCCTGAAAAAGATGTAGATGGATTTCATATTATCAATATTGGAAGACTGTGCCTTGATCAGCATTCTCTCATACCTGCCACTGCCAGTGCTGTTTGGGAAATAATCAAAAGAACAGGTTGGTAATTTGTGGTCTACAGAACGTGGGTGCTAAGAGCCAAACTGAGAACTTGTGCATTGCCTTGATGGAACCCCTTCAATCCCACTGATTCTGCAGAAAGATAGAAAGTTCTGTAAGGCGAGGAATAATCCAAAATAAGATATACTGGGCTTACAGGTAACCGCTCTTGCATCTTGTAGGGAATTTTTTAATAGTAGGTTTGCCTCCCTACTTTTAATCTAAAAACAATGTATTTTCATGTACATTTTATAAAATGTATTATATTTTTCCTTACCTTTAAAACAGAATGTGCTGAATATATTTGAATCATCTGTAATGACCTAGGTTTTTATTACAAACATTTACCCTTGAATTGTGCTCTAAATGCCATTTGTAAATTGACCCCTACATCAGTGGTTCTCAACCTTCCTAATGCTGCGACCCTTTAATACAGTTCCTCATGTTGTGGTGACCCCCAACTATAAAATTATTTTCGTTGCTACTTCATAACTGTAATTTTGCTACTGTTATGAATCATAATGTAAATATCTGATATGCAGGATGTATTTTCATTGTTACAAATTGAACATAATTAAAGCATAGTGATTAATCACAAAAACAATATATAATTATATATGTGTTTTCCAATGGTCTTAGGCGACCCCTGTGAAAGGGTCGTTCGACCCCCAAAGGGCTCGCGACCCACAGGTTGAGAACCACTGCCCTACATTAACTGACCCCTAAGGCAATATCGTGTCAATTAGTGCAGAGGCAAACATCTCTGTACACCTGTGAGAGCTCCGCCAGCGTCACTTCCATTTCTGACAGCATCTCCTTTCTAATCTACTGTTTTCCAAATGGAAGAGAAAATTTCCAAAGGAAAGCAAATCCTAGAATTATACTCTGATAATGTTAGTATTTGAGAAAAAACAACACCCTTAATTCTAACTTCTTCATTTTACTTATGAGAAACTATGCCCCAAAGTGGTAAATAGTGTTAAATCTGCAAGTTTTATCTTTCATACCTCTTAAGTCCCTAAGTTTAGTGCTGCTCTCCTGTGAAGTAAAGTGCATGAGCTTTGTGGAAAATACTGCCCCCACTTTATTTTATTCCAGTTGTTCTCAATGAAACTTGACATTGTTGTACTTTACTTTGTAATTAGCAGTTAATATATTTAAGTCTGAGTACTTCTAACTCTTCATGTAAACCTTAATATTTAAAAAGCAATTTAATGGCAATTTGAAAATATTTGTGATTTTTTTCATGAGGACATAATCAGAGAGGAAGTGACAAATCCAAGAGGTATAAAATAAATATTTACAAATAATGAATGTGGACACATTATAGACAAGCCATACAGTAATTCAGATTCAATTAGAAAATTTTAAAGAATGTTTCAGTTGACTGTTCAAATGTGTATTTGCTTCTTGTTGATTATTTAAATCAAACTCTGTGTTTTAAGGAATTGAAACATTTGGGAAAAATGTGGTTGTGGCTGGAAGGTCCAAGAATGTAGGGATGCCCATTGCCATGCTTCTACACACTGATGGAGAACATGAACGACCAGGAGGTAGGTGGGACCTTTGAGATTCCATATACCTTTACAACTTTTTTACTTCTTAAATTAATAAAAGCTAGATATTTGAAATTGTGACTTAGTGTATTTGTAGGTTTTGCAAATGAAGGTGTCCTTTATTCCTCATCTAATGACATGAGCACATTGAAAGTGAGGAAAGGAGTTACTGGAAATATGTGGCCTCTTTGTTTCTATATTTTCTTTTGGCTATATATACTTTCTTCAGATCATTTACAATGTAGATATTAAGAAAAGTGGGAAGCCAGTAGCTACATAAAATCTCATGATAGACATCTGTACGCTCGCTCTCTCTCTCTCTCTCTCTCTCACACACACACACACGCACACACACACACACGTACAACAGCAATGTATAGATATATAGATTTCTTATTATTAACCTTAGAGAATTTCAGTTTCCTGATCTCTTATTTTAAAATACTTGTTTTAGGATCTGGTTTGACATAATGCATATGAAATAATTTTTTAAGCTACAAAGCCCTATGAAAAAGTAAGCCTGATGAGAATACATTACTTATCTAAAATGGTGAATGATAAAGATTTTAAAATATTGTTTTTCTTTCCTGGTTCTAAGGATTTAAATATTGCCACAAAGCAAAATGTGTATGTGGATCACAGTAAATTAGACCCTGAGAGTGACTCCAGGTAACTTTAAAAAGCCTTAGTTTTGAAAAGCAAAAAGCTCTTCAATAAGAAAGGCCAAATCTTGTGGCATGAACAATTTTCATGATAATTGTCTACAAAGTTACATTTTAGTTTTGCTATTCACTTCTAACTTAATCTATTCGGGCTTATCTATCTTTTCAGTATAATAAAATATTGATTCGTAGTTGCCTTTATGTGATAGTTTCTACATTAAGCAAGGTAAAACAACCAGGAAAGTTCACCTAGGTATACTATTTTTGTTGGAAAATCTTGCCCAAGAGCTAATAAGCAGTTTTTTCATTTTCAACATTTCATTTGACCTCATCAATAACATTACAATAACATAGCTAACATAACTGTTAAACTTGCACAGAACCTTCTCATAAACTATCTTATTTAGTTCTCAATAATTCTGGCATCCTATCTAATAAAAGAGTAATATGCAAATTAACCGTCACTCCCTCACTCAGACACAAAGATGGCGGCAGCCACGGAGCTGGAGTGAGCAGAGGCTTGGGTTGCCCCCAGCGATGGAGGAAGCCAAGCTTCCCACCTGCCCTGGACGGCCCTGAGCTCCACTCAAGGCTACAGAGTTTCAATTATAGAAGATAAATAAATCCCAGATACCTATTCCAGCTGGAGGTGGCCTCCACTCAAGGAGGGCCTTGGCAACCCAGGCTTCGAGCCAGACCAAGGCTACAAAGTTTCAATTATAGAAGTTAAATAAATCCCAGATACCTGCTTCTAGCCTGTGGGCGGGCCAGCCTGAAAACGGCCATCAGCCCCTCACCCAGGCTGGCCAGGCACCCCAGTGGGACCCCCACCCTGATCCGGGACACCCTTCAGGGCAAACCAGCTGGCCCCCATCCGTGCACCAGGCCTCTATCCTATATAATAAAAGGGTAATTTGCAAATTGACCCTAACAGCAGA